AGTTCGGTGCAGGTGCACTTAGTGCAAGTTCGGTGCAGGTGCACTTAGTGCAAGTTCGGTGCAGGTGCACTTAGTGCAAGTTCGGTGCAGGTGCACTTGGGTGCAAGTTCGGTGCAGGTGTACTTGGGTGCAAGTTCGGTGCAGGTGCACTTAGTGCAAGTTCGGTGCAGGTGCACTTAGTGCAAGTTCGGTGCAGGTGCACTTAGTGCAAGTTTGGTGCAGGTGTACTTGGGTGCAAGTTCGGTGCAGGTGCACTTAGTGCAAGTTCGGTGCAGGTGCACTTAGTGCAAGTTCGGTGCAGGTGCACTTAGTGCAAGTTCGGTGCAGGTGCACTTAGTGCAAGTTTGGTGCAGGTGCACTTAGTGCAAGTTTGGTGCAGGTGCACTTAGTGCAAGTTTCGGTGCAGGTGCACTTAGTGCAAGTTTCGGTGCAGGTGCACTTAGTGCAAGTTTGGTGCAGGTGCACTTAGTGCAAGTTTGGTGCAGGTGCACTTAGTGCAAGTTTGGTGCAGGTGCACTTAGTGCAAGTTTGGTGCAGGTGCACTTAGTGCAAGTTCGGTGCAGGTGCACTTGCACTAAGTGCACCTGCACCAAACTTGCACTCGGTGCACCTGCACCAAACTTGCACTAAGTGCACCTGCACCAAACTTGCACTAAGTGTGCACCAAACTTGCACTAAGTGCACCTGCACCAAACTTGCACTAAGTGCACCTGGTGCAAACTTGCACTAAGTGCAAGTTCGGTGCAGGTGCACTTAGTGCACCTGGTGAACTTGCACCCAAGTTACCTGGTGCAAGTACACCTGCACCAAACTTGCACTTAGTGCACCTGCACCGAACGGTGCAAGTACGGTGCACCGAACTTGCACCCAAGTACGGTGCACCGAACTTGGGTGCAAGTACACCTGCACCGGGTGCACCTGCACCGAACTTGCAAGTGCACTTAGTGCAGGTGAACTTGGTGCAAGTTCGGTGCAGGTGCACTTAGTGCAAGTTCGGTGCAGGTGCACTTAGTGCAAGTTCGGTGCAGGTGCACTTAGTGCAAGTTCGGTGCAGGTGCACTTAGTGCAAGTTCGGTGCAGGTGTACTTGGGTGCAAGTTCGGTGCAGGTGCACTTGGGTGCAAGTTCGGTGCAGGTGTACTTGGGTGCAAGTTCGGTGCAGGTGCACTTAGTGCAAGTTCGGTGCAGGTGCACTTAGTGCAAGTTCGGTGCAGGTGCACTTAGTGCAAGTTCGGTGCAGGTGCACTTAGTGCAAGTTCGGTGCAGGTGCACTTAGTGCAAGTTCGGTGCAGGTGCACTTAGTGCAAGTTCGGTGCAGGTGCACTTGAGTGCAAGTTCGGTGCAGGTGCACTTGAGTGCAAGTTCGGTGCAGGTGCACTTAGTGCAAGTTCGGTGCAGGTGCACTTGGGTGCAAGTTCGGTGCAGGTGCACTTGGGTGCAGGTGCACTTAGTGCAAGTTCGGTGCAGGTGCACTTAGTGCAAGTTCGGTGCAGGTGTACTTGGGTGCAAGTTCGGTGCAGGTGCACTTGGGTGCAGGTGCACTTAGTGCAAGTTCGGTGCAGGTGCACTTGGGTGCAAGTTCGGTGCAGGTGCACTTAGTGCAAGTTCGGTGCAGGTGCACTTGGGTGCAAGTTCGGTGCAGGTGCACTTGGGTGCAGGTGCACTTAGTGCAAGTTCGGTGCAGGTGCACTTAGTGCAAGTTCGGTGCAGGTGTACTTGGGTGCAAGTTCGGTGCAGGTGCACTTGGGTGCAGGTGCACTTAGTGCAAGTTCGGTGCAGGTGCACTTAGTGCAAGTTTGGTGCAGGTGTACTTGGGTGCAAGTTTGGTGCAGGTATACTTGGGTGCAAGTTCGGTGCAGGTGCACTTAGTGCAAGTTCGGTGCAGGTGCACTTGGGTGCAAGTTTGGTGCAGGTGCACTTAGTGCAAGTTCGGTGCAGGTGTACTTGGGTGCAAGTGCACTCGAGTCGAGAGGGAGTACGGATGGCCACTAGCCGGCCCTTCAGTGTTACCAAACTGCCTATCTTGAATGAGCTGTGAATTTTTTTTAATGGAGTTTAAGTTATGCTAACTCTCCATACACCAGAGGACCTAGAAAGAGCTACCCATCAGTCAATCTTCCCACTCAGCACAAACTAGTCTGGTAATAGATTGCTGTCGTTATGATGAGGTTGGTAGAAATCTTGCCCAGGTACTGCAGGTTTCCATGTAGTGGTTGCCGTCTTTCCTGTCGGTCACTTCTGAATTCTTTCACACGTTACCACACGATGATTATGGGTGCTCTAGTAGCACTTTTTCCAGGCACTCCATACCAAGTTATCAAATCAAGGCACCAAGCCGGGGAGGCTATATAGCACCATTAAAAGTGATATTCAAGACGCTAAATATTACTAAGGATGCCAATACGAGTGCAAGTTCATACGAGAGACACTTATTCGCCTTGTACACTTTTGTATAACATCAAAGGCATCCGATTCACCAAGGATACTATCGAGGGATAGGTGACCGCGAGGGACAGTCGGGAAGCAAGACCCACGCACATTCTGGAAGTCAGAACATTCAACAAGGATATGCACGACCGTAAGAGGGACAATACAATTTGGACAACAAGGATGAGGGCAGCACTCCATTAAGTGCCTGAGTTAAGTGGGTCTGGCCGATACATAACCTCGCTAGAGCCGTTTCCCACCGCCGGTTACGGTGGTAGGAGGAAGGCCATGGGGGGGGGTGTTTGTAGAACACTTAACAGCATGCAGCTTGTTAAGAGTAACAAGACCAACGACCATGCCAATGGGCAAGGATTGAGGAATGAATAACTGGATAAAAGTCTGAATAAGAAATATCTTTACAGAAGATGGGACAGGTGCGGGCAGCTTCCTTAGCGGCAGTGTCCGCACACTCATTTAAGGAAACCACCAATATGGCTGGGAACCCAGCAAAACTCTACTGTCTTAAATCTGCTGGAGATAAACAGTCAATATTGAAGTTCGATGACCACAGGATTATGACTAGAGCTATGAGAGTACTGCTTGAGTCAACTACAACAGGAAGAACTACAGTAAGAAAGCCGTTGACAAAAAGCAAACAAAATTGCATAAAGTTCAGCCGTGAAGATGCTAGTCTCTTGAGGAAGGCGACACACATTGTTGTGTAGTCCTGACTGCACCCGAGTAGCCTACACTCAGCAGACCTAGACCCATCTGTGACGACGGAGATGGAGCGGGAGTGTGAAGTGAGCAAGGAAAAGGCGTTTCAGAACTGTAGGACGGAGTAATGACCTGCATGACTAAGGTTCTACAAAACCTAGGAAGAGGGACCCTCCATGGGGGACAATGACACGATGAGAAACATTGGCGACACGAACCGAGAGAGAAACTTGCGAGACAACCGTACAGAAAGGGAACAGGGCCCACAGGAGGGGTAATGGTCAAAGTACGACATAAGCAAGAGTTTTAAAGGGACCAGGCAAAGTAGCGAGGACAATAGCAATCACTGCGATCCTGTCTAGACTGGATGCCGGTCTCAACATACAAACTGGATAAAGAAACACAAAGCGAACTATATCAAAAGTATCCGATCTCTTGGAACAGTTGTCAGACGTATCTGCCACTTTATTTTGGGTTTGCTTGTCCATTTAAAATTTAATGTTAAATACTAGGCAGTCCGACAAACGTAACGCATTAGTGGTTATTCAGACTATTCATATTGATGTCATTTACTGGCCTAACAATCTGGACTTCTGTATCAAAAATATGGAAAAGGCAAGGTAATTATCAGGAGAAAGTGCCAAGCCATTATGACTACATATCCTGACCGCAGTGTTGAGTATTTGGGATGGAACGGGGGGGGGGGGGAAGGTAACTATCAGGAGAAAGCGCCAAGTAGTAAGTCTATAGCACTTTGAAGTGGTTAAGATAAGGATTTGGGACGTGACAGGGATCAAATGGGCGCCTGACAGCTGAGTGGACAGCGCTTCTGATTCGTAGTCCCGAGGTGTCGGGTTCGATCCCCGGTGGAGGCAGAGACAAATGGGCAAAATGTTTTTCACCCTGATGCCCCTGTTACCTAGCAGTAAATAGGTACCTGGGAGTTAAACGGCTGCTACGGGCTGCTTCCTGAGAATGGAGGCCTGGTCGAGGACCGGGCCGCGGTGACGTTAAGCCTCTAAATAAAGAAACAACCACTTAAACGGTCGGGGATTGAACGCTGACTGGCATGCAGCGAGACTCGCTCTACCGTCCAGTCCAAGTGATCGGGCGTGCCACATTTTAAATTTTGTCAGTTTACAGATGAAAGGCAATGTTGTAAGGTACACTACACAGTTTGAAGTGATATGATAACCAAATAGGTTCAAGAATCTACGTTAGTCGATTGACATTCGAGAGGCGAGACCAAAGAGGCTCAACCTTAGAGTACACAATCCTGAGGGTGATCTGGGTACCCACAGAATAGGTCCTGTGGAACACTTTACTCTGGGGAGATGGTAAGGTGCCAAGCAAGTATTTAACTAGCGGCCAGTTCTAACCTGGCCAGTTTAATGTAATTGTCGTATAACAAAACCAAGCCTCTGAAGGTCAGCCGAAGCGTTTCTCTGCCACCTCTGTTACTTGTGGAGCTAATGGGTGGTTTTTATGGCCCATTTTTGAAGGTTTATAAGACTAGGTTAACACTACAATAGGGCTGTTGTACCGAAGGAGTAAAGACTTCGTACTGTCAAGTCTCGCTAAGAGTTAATAAAGGGCCTACCACCCATAATGTCGAGCTTCAGTTGTATTACTAATGCACGATACATGGAAGGTGTTGTACAGAGAGAGGTGGTGTACGTTAGTCTGGTTTTAAGGTGTTCATACACCAGAAGGTAGTTGCAAACTGTACCTGATCACTCTGGTTGTGGGTTGAGAACAGCAGCAACTAAGGGCCTATATAGTCAGAGACCGGGCCACGAGAACAGTGTCCAGCAGTACACATCACGTTTAATTATATAAGGTAGGATAAAACTAGTGTTTGAGGTAGCAAATTTAGTATCAAATTCAAAGTTAGAGTCGTGAATCGGCGAGAGGAGTCATCAGGAAGCAAGCTCAGAAGACAGTAGTGATCGGGATCTCTTGCTCTTTACCAATTCTATGGTTATCTTAACCTCTATCAGTGCCTCACTCCTAACTCTTCCAACATTATTTCCACCTGCACTGATACAAATAATGGGGTTCCCATTTCCAACCATATCATTAATGTAATACAGAGCCGGTCCTCGTTGGCTTCTTTTGACGGGCTGTAGTTGGCCGGACCTGAGGACAAGAGGTAAACATTAGAAAGACTATCAAAATCCTCAGATTAGGCAAAATTGTAATTAATTTTGTCAATAAAGATAATAATAAATAATAATAATGTTAATTTTTGCATTTTTTCCCCCACACATTATGTAAATGCAGTTCATTAAGCCTTCGTTAGACACTAGCAATCTTTACTATCGCCATAGGATGGGGTTATGGGGGTCCACTACCAGAATATAAACAACTGGATCACACGTACTTAAAGTTTGAGAGCACAACAACCACACTATAGTAGCTAATAATGTGCTAATATGAGAATGATAATTAACCAAGTTTTCAATCTATGAAACTGACAAATGTTAAGTGTAATGTTTATAAAATTGTAAAATTGCGAGTGTTAATTGGTAAATATTAAATGTTTTCAGTTTAGAATCTACGCCTATGTATGTGATGTCCTTGTGAGGGAGAAAAGCAGGTAACCTTAGACGTTTTGTGGTTAACTCGGGGGGGGGGGGGGGGAGAACTGTGCTACAGTGGTACTGTGCTACAGTGCCACACGCAGCACTATGCGCACTTAACCCAACCTTCGAGTCGTCAAAACATATCTGAAATAAAGGTAGTTCCCCCCTAATACACTTCACCTGTTCCAGTACGGAAGACCAAGGGGAAGGGGAGGGAGACGCAACAAGGCGCGAGCAAGGGAGGGTACAAGGCGCGAGCAAGGGAGGGAGGGAGGGAGGGTACAAGGCGCGAGCAAGGGAGGGAGGGAGGGAGGGTACAAGGCGCGAGCAAGGAGACGCAACATGGGGGCAGGAGGTGGGAGGGGGACGCAACATGGGGGCAGGAGGTGGGAGGGGGACGCAACATGGGGGCAGGAGGTGGGAGGAGGACGCAACATGGGGGCAGGAGGTGGGAGGAGGACGCAACAAGACGGCAGGGGGGGGAGGGGGACGCAACATGGGGGCAGGAGGAGGGAGGTGGCGAGACGCAACAAGAGGGGGAGGGGGGATCCCCCACATACAGCTCACCTTCAAGAGACGAGCCTGGAACTGTATACCAAAAGTGAGGTAAAAACACACTGAAGTGTTCTTTGTCTCGTGGTCCCTTTTATACCCAGCAGGCAACCAAACTCGGCCGCTGATTGGTTGACATTCACCCTAAAACTCACGCCATTGGTTAACATTTTGCGAGTCTCGAGTGTCAATTAACAATGGCCAACAGCCACTCCTTCACTTCCCCAGACACGAACGAGTCTATAATGAACCAGTAATGATCCCAACCTTAAATGCTTGAAGTTGTTAATTTCAAAATGTAATTCACAAGCCAAATACAACATTCTGTTGTAAATGTTGCAACAGAACAACAGGTACAACAGAGCAACATTTGCAATATAATCGGCAGTGAAGTAGTACTCGTCCGTCAGTCATGAACTGTTAATGGCCGCTCCACAACTACAACAACAACTACAATATACAATATATACAATAACAGACTAACAAACACAACAACAACCAAAGTTCCTGACACAACACTGGATGACGTTAAATATTTGCTTTCAATGGACTTAAGATATTGCTCGTTAATGACAAGTTAAGCGAGTTTAACTTATTGAAGTGTGAACATTTATGCTTTATAATAACTATTAACGTCCAGGATGACATTGTTCAGAATATTATTCTGCACAAGTAAGTAATTATCAAAAGAAGGCACCACGCCGGGAAGGCTATGTAGTACTATGAGACGGGTACTATGGGTACGGGTACTATGGTACGGGTACTATGGTATGGGTACTATGGGACGGGTACTATGGGTACGGATACTATGGGGCGGGTACTATGGGTACGGATACTATGGGGCGGGTACTATGGGGCGGGTACTATGGTATGGGTACTATGGTATGGGTACTATAGTGCGGGTACTATGGTACGGGTACTATGGGGCGGGTACTATGGTATGGGTACTATGGTACGGGTACTACGGGACGGGTACTACGGGACGGGTACTATGGTACGAGTACTATGGTATGGGTACTATGGTACGGGTACTATGGGTACGGGTACTATGGTACGGGTACTACGGGACGGGTACTATGGTACGGGTACTATGGGACGGGTACTATGGGACGGGTACTATGGTACGGGTACTATGGGGCGGGTACTATGGTATGGGTACTATGGTACGGGTACTATGGGTACGGGTACTATGGTACGGGTACTATGGGGCGGGTACTATGGTACGGGTACTACGGGACGGGTACTATGGGTACGGGTACTATGGTACGGGTACTACGGGACGGGTACTATGGTGCGGGTACTATGGTATGGGTACTATGGTACGGGTACTATGGGTACGGGTACTATGGTATGGGTACTACGGTACGGGTACTATGGTATGGGTACTACGGTACGGGTACTATGGTATGGGTACTATGGTACGGGTACTATGGTACGAGTACTATGGTATGGGTACTATGGTATGGGTACTATGGTACGGGTACTATGGTACGGGTACTACGGTACGGGTACTATGGTATGGGTACTATGGTATGGGTACTATGGTATGGGTACTACGGTACGGGTCCTATGGTATGGGTACTATGGTACGGGTACTATGGTACGGGTACTATGGTACGGGTACTATGATATGGGTACTATGGTATGGGTACTATGGTATGGGTACTATGGTATGGGTACTATGGTATGGGTACTATGGTACGGGTACTATGGTACAGGAACTATGGTATGGGTACTATGGTATGGGTACTACGGTACGGGTACTATGGTACGGGTACTATGGTATGGGTACTATGGTATGGGTACTACGGTACGGGTACTATGGTATGGGTACTATGGTACGGGTACTATGGTACGGGTACTATGGTACGGGTACTATGGTATGGGTACTATGGTATGGGTACTATGGTATGGGTACTACGGTACGGGTACTATGGTACAGGAACTATGGTATGGGTACTATGGTATGGGTACAACGGTACGGGTACTATGGTATGGGTACTATGGTATGGGTACTATGGTATGGGTACTATGGTATGGGTACTATGGTATGGGTACTATGGTACGGGTACTATGGTATGGGTACTACGGTACGGGTACTATGGTACAGGAACTATGGTATGGGTACTATGGTATGGGTACTATGGTATGGGTACTATGGTATGGGTACTACGGTACGGGTACTATGGTACAGGAACTATGGTATGGGTACTATGGTATGGGTACTATGGTATGGGTACTATGGTATGGGTACTATGGTACGGGTACTATGGTATGGGTACTATGGTACGGGTACTATGGTATGGGTACTACGGTACGGGTACTATGGTACAGGAACTATGGTATGGGTACTATGGTATGGGTACTATGGTATGGGTACTATGGTATGGGTACTACGGTACGGGTACTATGGTACAGGAACTATGGTATGGGTACTATGGTATGGGTACTACGGTACGGGTACTATGGTACAGGAACTATGGTATGGGTACTATGGTACGGGTACTACGGTACGGGTACTATGGTATGGGTACTATGGGTACGGGTACTACGGTTAATAACGGCCTTCGTTGCCTCTATTGACGGATAAATACACAGAAGTGTACTCCAAGTCGTATCGAGGGTATACAGATCGAGAACTGCATATCAGCTTTCCTGTGTATGTAAACCTTTGAGTTTGCTTTTAATCATTGACTATATTTCAGCCTGTCTAAAGTTCATCTTGCTCTATTATGACGGCCTGACGCTAAAAGATGTTTCGTTGATCATGTCAACATGTTCAAAGGCAGAGCAGAAGTGAGTACAATTTAGCCGGAGCACCTCATATGTGGCCGAGAGTGAGGTGAAGGTGAGGCATAGACCAATGTAGGCATTGTGCAGCCTCCTTGCTTCCTGTGGTCTGATGGTGGCTGGGACAGCATGCTGAGTGGTCTGATGGTGGCTAGGACAGCATGCTGAGTGGTCTGATGGTGGCTAGGACAGCATGCTGAGTGGTCTGATGGTGGCTAGGACAGCATGCTGAGTGGTCTGGTGGTGGCTGGGACAGCATGCTGAGTGGTCTGATGGTGGCTAGGACAGCATGCCGAGTGCTGTCTTGATCTTGAAGACGGTAGACTGTACCTACCGGAAGAATGCACGTTAGAATGATTGCAAAGTGATAGCTGACTATTGACAGTTGCTACATATCAAATAAGCTCAATCAAGGATTCAAACAATTCATCATGTGTTAATTTATTTGTGATTTACACACACACACACACACACACACACACACACACACACACACACACACACACACACACACACACACACACACACACACACACACACACACACACACACACACATTATATATAGTGACGCATTGTGGTACTGCAGCTATAGTGAACCAAAGTGGTATGGCTCTCAGTCACATAAACAAAAAAATGCTGCTATTGACCCTTGCAGCGTTTAACTCACAGGTGGAAGCAAAGGAAAACAATCAAATAAATAACTCAAACAACATACTGAAATATTAATGAACAAAAATGGTAGATGAGAACACTTGGCGATCATATAATGCAAAGGTGAACAAAATAACATGGAAAATGTACCATATATAAACTGTGGAAGAAAAACAATGACTATAAGAGATCAGTTAAGACTGGTGGGCGGAACACAACTCCTATACCACCAGCACCTCCGACACACGACGTAGGCTGAGTGTAGAGGACGTTGCGGGCGGCGAAGGTGATCCACGATCCACGGCGAAGGTGATCCACTGAGAGAGAGATTGGCTCCCTACGTTATTGTTTAAGATTTGCTACTTGGAACAAAAAGTTCCAAGTAGCACGGGCTATGGTGAGCCCGTAATGGCTCCCTTAGGGAGACGGTGCGCTTTTATAGGCCAGCGGTGATGCCTCACAGTCGGTGTCAACGCAAGGTGGTTGCGGCTGTACCACTGCTAGTGGAAGGTGGCTAACTGCTTGTTTGTGAAGGCTAACTACCGGTTAGCGGAGGCGCCCTGCTTGTCTCTGAGTCGTACCTGGCCGTGCCAGGTCCTGGGGGGGGTACAGGGAAGTGGCACGGCACTAGAGGACAAGACACCAGTGTTGCAAGCCTCCCACACCACAGCACAAGACACATGTTGCAAGCCTCCCACACCACACCACAAGACACATGTTGCAAGTCTCCCACACCACAGAACAAGACACATGTTGCAAGCCTCCCACACCACAGAACAAGACACATGTTGCAAGCCTCCCACACCACAGCACAAGACACATGTTGCAAGCCTCCCACACCACAGCACAAGACACATGTTGCAAGCCTCCCACACCACAGCACAAGACACATGTTACAAGCCTCCCACACCACAGCACAAGACACATGTTGCAAGCCTCCCACACCACAGCACAAGACACATGTTACAAGCCTCCCACACCACAGAACAAGACACATGTTGCAAGCCTCCCACACCACAGCACAAGACACATGTTGCAAGCCTCCCACACCACAGAACAAGACACATGTTGCAAGCCTCCCACACCACAGAACAAGACACATGTTGCAAGCCTCCACACCACAGAACAAGACACATGTTGCAAGCCTCCCACACCACAGAACAAGACACATGTTGCAAGCCTCCCACACCACAGAACAAGACACATGTTGCAAGCCTCCCACACCACAGCACAAGACACATGTTGCAAGCCTCCCACACCACAGAACAAGACACATGTTGCAAGCCTCCCACACCACAGAACAAGACACATGTTGCAAGCCTCCCACACCACAGCACAAGACACATGTTGCAAGCCTCCTCCCTGAATCTGTCGCGATTAATAGAATCTTGTGCAACAAGGTCTGCGGGGCCGGGACATACACCTTAAATAATTACAAGTCCACAGAGTGAGGTTCCAGCGGCCAGGGTGCAGGCACTCCTGAACCACCACCTGGAAAACGTCACATTTGAAGCGCATTAACCTCTCCAGAAGCGTAGGAACCTGTAGGCAGCTCCCCTGATCTCCCGAGGCAGCTCCCCTGATCTCCCGAGGCAGCTCCCCTGATCTCCCGAGGCAGCTCCCCTGATCTCCCGAGGCAGCTCCCGTCAGAAGCAGCGTCGAGATTGTGGTGCTCAGACAGTCAGCATGGTACCCAGACAGTCAGCATGGTACCCAGACAGTCAGCATGGTACCTAGACAGTCAGCATAATACCCAGACAGTCAACATAATACCCAGACAGTCAGCATAATACCCAGACAGTCAGCATAATACCCAGACAGTCAGCATAATACCCAGACAGTCAACATAATACCCAGACAGTCAGCATGGGTACCTAGACAGTCAGCATAATACCCAGACAGTCAGCATGGTACCCAGACAGTCAGCATGGTACCCAGACAGTCAGCATAATACCCAGACAGTCAGCATGGTACCCAGACAGTCAGCATGGTACCCAGACAGTCAGCATAATACCCAGACAGTCAGCATGGTACCTAGACAGTCAGCATAATACCCAGACAGTCAACATAATACCCAGACAGTCAGCATAATACCCAGACAGTCAGCATAATACCCAGACAGTCAGCATAATACCCAGACAGTCAACATAATACCCAGACAGTCAGCATGGTACCTAGACAGTCAGCATAATACCCAGACAGTCAGCATGGTACCCAGACAGTCAGCATGGTACCCAGACAGTCAACATAATACCCAGACAGTCAGCATAATACCCAGACAGTCAACATAATACCCAGACAGTCAGCATAATACCCAGACAGTCAGCATAATACCCAGACAGTCAGCATAATACCCAGACAGTCAGCATAATACCCAGACAGTCAACATAATACCCAGACAGTCAGCATAATACCCAGACAGTCAGCATAATACCCAGACAGTCAGCATAATACCCAGACAGTCAGCATAATACCCAGACAGTCAGCATAATACCCAGACAGTCAGCATAATACCCAGACAGTCAACATAATACCCAGACAGTCAGCATAACCCAGACAGTCAGCATAATACCCAGACAGTCAGCATAATACCCAGACAGTCAGCATAATACCCAGACAGTCAGCATAATACCCAGACAGTCAGCATAATACCCAGACAGTCAGCATAATACCCAGACAGTAATACCCAGACAGTCAGCATAATACCCAGACAGTCAGCATAATACCCAGACAGTCAACATAATACCCAGACAGTCAGCATAATACCCAGACAATGACCCAGACAGCATAATACCAGACAGTCAGCATAATACCCAGACAGTCAGCATAATACCCAGACAGTCAGCATAATACCCAGACAGTCAGCATAATACCCAGACAGTCAGCATAATACCCAGACAGTCAGCATAATACCCAGACAGTCAGCATAATACCCAGACAGTCAGCATAATACCCAGACAGTCAGCATAATACCCAGACAGTCAGCATAATACCCAGACAGTCAGCATAATACCCAGACAGTCAGCATAATACCCAGACAGTCAGCATAATACCCAGACAGTCAGCATAATACCCAGACAGTCAACATAATACCCAGACAGTCAACATAATACCCAGACAGTCAGCATAATACCCAGACAGTCAGCATAATACCCAGACAGTCAGCATAATACCCAGACAGTCAGCATAATACCCAGACAGTCAGCATAATACCCAGACAGTCACCATAATACCCCAGACAGTCAGCATAATACCCAGACAGTCAGCATAATACCCAGACAGTCAGCATAATACCCAGACAGTCAGCATAATACCCAGACAGTCAGCATAATACCCAGACAGTCAGCATAATACCCAGACAGTCAGCATAATACCCAGACAGTCAGCATAATACCCAGACAGTCAGCATAATACCCAGACAGTCAGCCATGGTACCCAGACAGTCAGCATACCCAGACAGTCAGCATAATACCCCCAGACAGTCAGCATAATACCCAGACAGTCAGCATAATACCCAGACAGTCAGCATAATACCCAGACAGTCAGCATAATACCCAGACAGTCAGCATAATACCCAGACAGTCAGCATAATACCCAGACAGTCAGCATAATACCCAGACAGTCAGTCAACATAATACCCAGACAGTCAGCATAATACCCAGACAGTCAGCATAATACCCAGACAGTCAGCATAATACCCAGACAGTCAGCATATAACCAGACAGTCAGCATAATACCCAGACAGTCAACATAATACCCAGACAGTCAGCATAATACCCAGACACAGTCAACATAATACCCAGACAGTCAGCATAATACCCAGACAGTCAACATAATACCCAGACAGTCAGCATAGCCCAGACAGTCAGCATAATACCCAGACAGTCAGCATAATACCCAGACAGTCAGCATAATACCCAGACAGCATGGTACCCAGACAAGTCAGCATAATACCCAGACAGTCAGCATAATACCCAGACAGTCAACTAATACCAGACAGTCAGCATAATACCCAGACAGTCAGCATAATACCCAGACAGTCAGCATAATACCCAGACAGTCAGCATAATACCCAGACAGTCAGCATAATACCCAGACAGTCAGCATAATACCCAGACAGTCAGCATAATACCCAGACAGTCAGCATAATACCCAGACAGTCAGCATGGTACCCAGACAGTCAGCATAATACCCAGACAGTCAGCATAATACCCAGACAGTCAGCAGCATAATACCCAGACAGTCAGCATAACCCAGACAGTCAGCATAATACCCAGACAGTCAGCATAATACCCAGACAGTCAGCATAATACCCAGACAGTCAGCATAATACCCAGACAGTCAACATAATACCCAGACAGTCAGCATAATACCCAGACAGTCAGCATAATACCCAGACAGTCAGCATAATACCCAGACAGTCAGCATAATACCCAGACAGTCAGCATAATACCCAGACAGTCAACATAATACCCAGACAGCATGGTACCCAGACAAGTCAACAGGGTATCCAGCGAGTGATTTCATTAATTTGTGTTTTTTAATTCAATATTTAAATTTTATTTGGAAAACAAGATTTAATTAAATATAAAACATTTCGTTAAAAATAAACCACAAAGCAATTAAATAGAAGAGAGAGAGAGTTCCCTTGTGTGTCAGGGACGCTATCTTGAGGTTATCTTGAGGTTATCTTGAGATGATTTCGGGGCTTTAGTG